GAAATCCTATTTCTGACCTACTTTGCTTCCTTGAGACAATGTATTCACAATAGGTGTAGAGATGCTCATGTGGCCCCAAGTGAAAAGGAAGAACCTAGAAAAAAGCCCATTATTAGGATAACACATTTGACAGTCTAATCACTTCTCTGGCTTTTATTGCTGGTCACTTTTCATAGGCTTCTTGAACAGGGGGTATTCCTCCATGCCCATCCGCACACAGGTGGGGCCTCGGCAGCTAGACATCTAAAGAAAGGGCCCTCTGCACTCTACACACTTGACATGTAAGCTTCCTGCAGTGACAACAGCCCATGCCTTATCAACATGTGCTGCACTGGTTGTAATGAAGCCATTGTGAATTTTAAACAGGGGAAGGTGTTTCTTGACCATCTGAATCTCTTACTGTGACTGTAAGGGTGTTCTGAAGTCTGGAGTAAATGAGACTTTGGTTCTGGCTTTAACACTGTAGCAGTTACTATATTACATTGGGCAACCTAGATAAACAATTGTATACTTCAAATTCCACTTTTGGAACAGGAGTTTGCAGTCAATAAAATTTAGCAATGTTCCAAGCCCATACATCTAATCACTTAACTGTCCCAGTGACACTCCATGATAGTAAGTTTTGCTACTACCTTCTATTGTCAGCATTTCAAGTAACTACAGGTTTAAGGCAGCACAGTAATTCACAACCTGCAGGCACTGGTGTTACAGGAATTGGAATTATCACATATAAAAGCATATCATTGTGCCCAGTGCCTAGTACACAGTGGGTACTCAGTAAATACTGGCTTTACTATGTTCTGGAGAATTTGGAGATCCTGTTTGCAAGTTCTATTGCCACCTGAATTCCATACAGCTGACTTTGTTGGGGTGCTCTTTGCTTCTCTGGACCTCAGAACACTGTAAGATAAGGGTATTCAGGAGCGGCAAGGCTGGACAGCCCTTTCAGGGGTGTTGCAAAAGCCACTGACCCTTAAAATTCACCTCCTGGTTCCCTTCATACACTCACTCAGGGGATAGGCTTCCACTGAACCAACATTTACTGAACAGCTCCATATGTTGGGCCTATAATAAACATTCAAACATTCACTGGCAATTCACTAAGATGAGTCAAAGGTGGCTAGGCTGGGGATGGTAGTGGTCTCTGAGAACAAGATACTGTACTGCATGATATGTGTGGGGAAAAATACGAATGAGGTGTATGCCAGAGGTACTGCAATGTGGAAAATGCATCTAACTGGGGGATGAAAAATGCTTCACAGTAACAGTGAGTCTTGAAGGACGAGAATGTGAAAGTCAAGAGGGCAGAAACCGCGTTTCAGTCCAGTTCTCAACCAAGCCCATTCATCTGCTTCTTAAGACTGTCCTAGAACCAAATTTCTATATCTCTGCTGTTTTACCCCAGAGATTGTGACGCACTCTTCTTTCCAAGGCTGGCTTCCTGTGTCCTTTGACCTCCCTCCCTCATTCCTAGTCCTCTCTACTCCTCCCAGCCACCCACTGGCTATATGCAGGAGTGCTCTCTCTCTCTCTCTCTCTCTCTCTCTCTCTCTCTCTCTCTCTCTCTTCCAGAATGGAAGAGATGGCAGCTGAATGCAGCATCACTCACATTTACACCTGCTTGAGATCCCATCATCAGATCTCCCCCTCGTGGCCTCACCAAATAAGTTGAGCATTACACATATTGCAGTTATGCCCCGAGACTGATAAGAGACTAAACTAAGAAAACGTGCAGGGGTGAGGTGGGGGCTAGTCAAAAGACAGCATGCAGTGAGATATGATCGCACCACTGCACTCCAACTTGGGTGACAGAGCAAGCCCCTGTCTCTTAGAAAACAGGCCAGGCGCGGTGGCTCACGCCTGTAATCCCAGCACTTTGGGAGGCCGGGGAGGGTGGATCACTAGGTCAAGAGATCGAGACCATCCTGGTCAACATGGTGAAACCCCGTCTCTACTAAAACTACAAAAATTAGCTGGGCATGGTGGCACGTGCCTGTAGTCCCAGCTACTCAGGAGGCTGAGACAGGAGAATTGCCTGAACCCAGGAGGCGGAGGTTGCGGTGAGCCAAGATGGTGCCATTGCACTCCAGCCTGGGTAACAAGAGCGAAACTCCGTCAAAAAAAAAAAAAAGAAAAGAAATAAGGAAGCTAGAAGTTACTATTTTGATTTGTCTATTTAAAAAATAAATTGTTTAAAAAGAAACAGTACCAACCCCAAAAAATAGAGGAGGAAGGAGACTCACAGAGTAAGAGAGAAAAGGGGAGGAAAAAAAAATTCCAAAGCAAAACCCCATCAGCTGTGTTTCAGGTGAGACCCAATATTGCTGCCAGATTAAATGACCCACGTCCACTCTCAAAAGCTATGGCCCTTGGGACAAGTGACCTCATTTCCTCAAGAACAACAAATTAAAAGGAGAGAGAGATTAAAAACAAACATGTTTTATCAACCTAACCAGTATCAATGTATAGACCTTATTTTAAAACATCACACTGGGCCAGGCGGGGTGGCTCTCACCTGTAATCCCAGCACTTTGGGAGGCCGAGGCAAGGGGGATCACCGGGTGGAGAGATCGATACCATCCTGGCCAACATAGTAAAACCCTATCTCTACTAAAAATATAAAACTTAGCTGGGTGTGGTGGTGCACACCTGTAGTCCCAGCTATTCAGGAGGCTGAGGCAGGAGAATCACTTGAACCTGGGAGGCAGAGGTTGCAGTGAGCTGAGATCACACCACTGCACTCCAGCCTGGCAACAGACTGAGACTCCGTCTCAAAAAGTGGGGAAAGGGTGGGGGGGGGAGGAAGACTGACAGTAGCAGAAATCTGAACACCTGACTCATTATGTTATCAGTATCATGGGTATGTTTTCTCTAAATAGAATACATGGCTTTTAAATATAAATACTGGACCAGGTGTGGTGACTCACTCCTGTAATCCCAGCACTTTGGGAAGCCAAGGCAAGCAGATCACTTTAGGACAGGAGTTCGAGACCAGTCAGGCCAACATGGTGAAACCATATCTCTACTAAAAATACAACAATTAGCTGGGTGCAGTGATACTTAGCTGTAGCCCCAGCTACTTGGGAGGCTGAGGCATAGGGCCAGGACTTCAAGGCCAGCATGAGCATAGCGAGACCCCATCTACAAAAAATAAAAATTAGCTGGGCACGATAGTGCACACATGCGATCCTTGCTGGTGGGAAAGCTGAGGTGAGAGGACGGCATGAGTTTGAGGTCATATGACACCACTGAACTCCACCCTGTCTCCCCCCTCCCCCCCCGACACGAAAAAATGTTTGAGGATTTCCTTCACTTAAAGGTGTAAATGAAACAAAATTCAGCATGAGTTGATACTTATGCAATTACGATAGGGTGCATAGAAGTGTACTGCATATTATTTTCAGGACTCAAAAAAGCTATTATTTACCTGAGTTTTACACACAGTGATATTCACCATACCAGAAATTAAAACAATTTTATATTCATTCATTTAAAAAATTATTCAGTCATTACATGTTAACATGAAGGAAATTTTTATGAACATTATACTTTACAAATTGAAAAAAAAAAATGTGAGAAAGGCATGGCTTTCCACTTCTGCAAATGTCTTTAATATCTGGTTTAACAGGAGTCAACAGACTTCTCATGACTGAATTCAGTCTGATGCAACATCACACATCACGTAGCATCTGGAAAGCCCCACTGCACATTCGGGAGAAAATGAAGAAAATAGTGTCTTGGTATTACCAGGATACTACTTTTCATCATAGTCCCCAGAAAGGGACTACAATCTAGGGATCCCTAGATGACAGTTTGAGAACCGCTATGATGGAGCAACGTCTATGGGGTAAACGAAAATTTCCTTGAGTGAGCAAGAATTTGATGGTCCTCTTTATTCTGAGGGAAAATGGAAGTCCCAAGTTGATAAAAAGAACATCATGTCACCCTTAAACACCCTCCTGCAGAGCACACCATCAGGAAGAAAGGGTCTCTGGGTAGTATGAACTGGTCAAAGCACCCTCAGACATTCACGCAGCTTAATTCAGGACAAGCTGTGAAAGTTCAAGATGTACGGTTTCCTCGACTGCTGATCCCCAACAGTTTATCAATATGCTGGGTCTCTTGACAAGCATCTTTCTTTTAAATTAAACAGCCGGGAAGAAAGGACAGATTACAGTATAACACAGAAAGCAAGACAAAGCTGAAATTGCTTCACGTGAGTGTGTGCACACACAGGCACACACAAATATTAGGTCTCAATTCAAAATTTCTTATTGCAAATAAAAGTCAAAATTAACAGAAACACAATCCCCTCAGGTACAAGGTATAGATTATAAAAGTCTTTATGAAGAAAACAGAAAAACTATGTTTCAACAGGAAGTAAAGGTGGCGAGGCTGGTGGCTAAAAAGTTGAAAAAAGCAAGTTTTGAAATTGTGGTATGCTCCTCATTAAAGAAAAAATGAAATTACACACACACATGAACACATAGAAAAACTCTAAAAACATATCTCTAGCAAGGGATTAGACAGGCTTCAGTGTAACTTACTACTTTATTCCTTTGTGGGTCATGAAAATTCTTTGTCAAAGGGCATGGATTGCCCTTTGAGTATAAAACAACAACAACAACAACAACAACAGCCTTTTTTTTTTTTTTTTAAATTAAAAAAACCACGTCTGTCCCATACTTTGCTCCAAACAAATATTAACTCAAAAAGTGGTTGGTGGGAGCAGTGGCTCACACCTTCAATCCCAGCACTGTAGAAGGCTAAGCAGAAGCATCACACTTGAACTCAGGAGTTCACAACCCACCTGGAAAACATGGCAAAACTACAAAAAATACAAGAGTTAGCCAGGCATGGTGTTACACGCCTACAGTGTCAGCTACTTGGGAAACCGAGACAGGAGAATCGCTTGAATTCAGAAGGCAGAGGCGGGGATTGCAGTGAGCCTCTAGCCTGGGCAGAGACTGTCCTTTTTAAAAAAAAAAAAAATGGTCATAGTGCTCACTTTGCCAGCTCATATATTAAAATTGGAATTTTACAGAGAAGACAGCATGGCCCCTGTACAAAGATGACATGCAAATTCATGCAGCTTTTCTTTTTTAAGAGCTCACAAGCAAAATGTGAAATATGTATGTATGTATGTATGTGTGTATGTATATATATCTCCAAGAGGAAATTTAAGAGATAATCCTTCCAATCTTGGGTTATACGAAGATTTCCTAGAACACAAAAAGGATGAATGATAATACCTTAGGCTTCATACAAATTAAAAGAAACTTATTTTCTTATTTTTTTGCTCTATTGCCCATGCAGTGGCACGATCTCAGCTCACTCCATCTCTCACCTCCCGGGCTCAAGCGAGTCTCATGCCTCAGCCACCAGAGCAGCTGGAAATTACAGGCACACACCACCATACCTGGCTAATTTTTGTATTTTTAATAGAGATGAGGTTTCACCATGTTGTAATCTGCCCACCTTGGCTTCCCAAAGTGCTGGGATTAATGAGCATGAGCCACCACAACCGAAAAGAAATTTTCTTTCAAAGACAGTGTTAAGAAATATTATCAGCTGCCTTGTGTCCCCTAAAAAGTCTTAAGTCCTAACCCCTAGGACGTCAGTATGTGACTGAATTTGAAGATGTGAAGTAAAAGGACATCAGTGCAGTGGCCTCACAGCACTGTTCAAGACAAAACATGAGAAGCATGCTGTCAAGGGAAAAGCACCTAAGAGCCAAGACCGAGATATTTGAATGGAAGCCTTCCCCTTGGTTTTACTGCTGGGTCAGTAAGCAGCCGCCCACTTTTCAATGAAAATGGTAGGCCAAGCGGGCACGATTTCCCAGTGCTGCAGCACACCCAGGCTGCCTAGGGAGACACACACACACACACACACACACACACACACACACACACACACGTTCATTCCTGTGATTGTAAGAAAAAAAGGAAAGAACAAGACGTAGCTAATCCTACACACTTCAGATATGCTTAATGGATACAGAAGGCAAGGCAGGAGAAATGCATTTGGGAAACCAGGATGTCCCTGCCTGCCTGGCAGGCATAAAACCCACCACCCACACAGATCTAAGAGGTTCCTTACCACAGAGTGGAAAAGAAAAACAGCCAGAATGAACGTGTCAGGAAACCTCCAACCAGAATGTTGTAGGGAAAAGTAACCTACAGTCCTGATGTTTGCTACCTTAGCATTTACTAGAATGAGCCTGCTGCTACGACCAAATTGCATACAGTCCAATCTCAAATGAACCAGATAATTCAGAACAGCTTAGAATTTTTCTCTCTGTTTTAAGAGTATGCAGTTATGTTTATATTATGGTTATGCCTAATATTCTGGAATTTGGAATTCAGGGGGAAAGTTTTATTTTGTTTGAAGACATAATTTGGAAGTAGTTTAGGAAATCAATTATCCCCTCTCTTCTCCATCCTGAAATCTCCCCTACTGCTACCCTGAGGGTTTACCAACTTCTCGTACAAAACATCACCCCCCAAAATGAGCCGTTGGCTCCTGAATTTGCTGTCTGGCTAAATGACTTAAAGAGAGAAGGTCTGGGTGAGCCAGTGGCATCGTAGGGATACTCCCTGACCGCTGGCTAAAAATATGGCCCAGGTATTTGGGTTCAGACAAATCCCTGAAATATGCCAGGTACTATTCTAAGCATATCTCATGTCATTAAACCTGAAATCCTTGCAGGGTAGGTAGATGTTACTAGTATGTCCCACTTTGAAGAAAAGAAATCAGGGGAAAATGTTAAGCACATACCTAGCCAGTGTATCCAGTGCTTCCTGAACACAGCCAAAACACACTGGGTGGTAAAATATTTTACAGGCACTTGCAAATCAATAATCGGTCTAGAGAGTGATGAACAGTGAATATGGCTTCCATAGCTAGGACCACAGGAGTGTGCCAGCACACGTGGTGAGTGCCCTCTAACCAGGCCTCGTAATCAGAAGCACAGAAGCCTGTGCACTTTCCCCTCACTCTTCTTACTGAGCCTTGAAAACTAAGCTCCAACAAATCATCCTATGATTCTACATGCCTTTTTGGATATTTGAAATTACATGTGTGTGTTTTTCATCCTACCAAACAGGAGCTATGCAGATTTCCCATTCTCCCATGAATCACTAGACACTAAATCTAATACTTAAAGAACTCTTCCAATTATAAAGTTAGATTGCTATTCTAACTCATACCCTATTATTCAAGCCTCGTATCTTCAGGGAAAGCATTTCTGTTGTGTGTAATTGTTGTTAACTTACTTAGCCACTGACCCAAAGAAGAGTCGAGAGAGATCAGTTTGTTAAAAATGAGGAGAGGCCGAAGGGAATCATGTTTTCTAATGACAAATGATGAAACAGATGAACCCCCGACAGTCACAGTCTTTGGTTCCGAATAGAGAACTTTATTTCACTGCCACCCACATTTAAGAAACAGAGCAGAAGTAATAAAAAGCTACCAACCATGTTTCAAGGCCCAATCAAAAAGGTTTACAAGCCTGTTAAATATTACCTGATCAGGACTGGCACGGTGGCTCATGCCTGTAATCCCAGCACTTTGGGAGACTGAGGCAGGCGAATCATGAGGTCAAGAGATCAAGACCATCCTGGCCAACATGATGAAACCCCGTCTACTAAAAAATACAAAAATTAGCTGAGAGGAGTGGTGTGTGCCTGTAGTCTCAGCTACTCAGGTGGCTGGGGCAAGAGAATTGCTTTAACCTTGGAGGCGGACGTTGTAGTAAGCCAAGATCACACCACTGCACTCCAGCCTGGCACCTGGTGACAGAGCAAAATTGTCAAAAAAAAAATAATAATAATAATAATAATCCTGGTCAAACATAATGTGAATTGTAGGTTCCCATTCAAGAAATGTGTGCCATAATATTCCAAAACACTAATGTTAGTTCATTAGTTCAGTTAGCCTTAGTTACACAGTGGACAACTCACAAACAATAACTTCATGATTACTTTCTTCATGGTGTAAAAAATGACATCCTCTATCCCCACAAGGTATATGATTACACTGATATTAAAACTTATTATAAATTGGCACAGGCCAGGTGTTTTGTAACTGATAACCCTGGGTAATCGGACTGGTTGAATTCTTGCACAGATCTAGTTATTTTCTTCCTAAAATTCTTTTAAGTTCCTGGCATTTTCAATCTGCTCACAGCATACTAACTACTGCAAAATACTACTTGTAATAATAAAATCATATGATACACTGCCTCCCATCCCCAAATTAGAATTCTACCATTTCATAGAACTCCCAAAAAAGATGCATAAATGCACCATTACCACAAAACTACTACAAACAGCAGGTAATATTTTATATGCAAGTCTCTCTCTCTCTCTCTCTCTCTC